TAAAGTCTAGCTATGTCCTACTATACGGAGCAGGCACTTGATCCAGATGGGGCTAATAAGTGTTGAATTGATCATTCCATGATATCCTTGTCATGAAGGATATGGAGAAGTGATGCACAAAGCAAATTTTTAGTAGCAAAAAAAGACAATGTAAACTTGGAATAACTATATAGGATAAGAAAAAAGGATATTTTCATGTAGTCTATTTAAACATGGACCTAAAATAAGGTAAGTAGTTAACTTTTTCAAAACTCCATGTTTTTAAGTTTTATTGTAAATTTGCAATTTTTACTTATGTGGAGGGGAAAAAAATCCAGGTGTGCCCACCCTTCTAAGTAATATAATTTAATCAGGATTTATTGCCCTTACTGAGTCTTGTCCCTTGCTTCAGGGAATCCTCTGCCTGCGTTATTTGTATCTACTTAAAAGTAAAAACCACCTGTATTACTTATATCTGTGCAAGAGCTGAGTCACATACATTTTCAGTGGACTGACACTGTCACCATAAGCTTCCTAGGGCAATTATAATTGAACTCCTCTTTCAAAGTTTATATTAAATATATTTATAGTGCTAGATACTGAAAACAGTAAGCTACTGCACATTGCACTTTCAGTTATACAGGGAAGAATTAGATTAGAGAATGAAAAGGGATAATAGCTTTGTAATTTTCTGGCTTTTAAAATAAAAAAATAGCTATAGGACAACTATGAAAGTACAGTGGAATGCTTAGCTTTTTCTTGCTAATACAATATAAACTTCATAATCGTTGCCAAAATCTTCACACACACACACACACACACACACACACACACACACACACACACACGCACACGCTGTTTAACTGAAGAGACTATCCCAGATTTGGATTCCAAATCTGAAACTAACTTGCTGAGTGACCTTGACAAGGCCTAAATAAAACACCTTGCATCTCAGCTTCCTCAGCTACAAAGAAGCGATATTAATATCTGTCTTGCCAGGTTGCTTTGAGGATTAAAAATAATCTATGTCAAGCAAGTGCCTAGCATATAGAAGGTGATCAATAAAAGTTAGATATTATGTTTGCTGGTATTCAAATATTCAGACAATATAAGAAAAGTCAGAGTAGCAAAAGTCTAAAAAAACATTTCCAGAATATAAAATAGGAAATGCAAACACCTTGTTCATAACGTTATTATTAACAGACTAAAGGGAAAATACACCTGGAAAAGAGGTGAAAGCAGAAATGTACATCTGCAAAGCCCTAAAATAGCACAGCACAGAAGGAGTGCAGTTACAAAGAAAGATAACCTGCCTCGATTGAGGCATACAAATGTCATAGACTATGAGACACTTACAGGAAAAACTAAAGTCATATGAATTGAATCGTTACTAATAAAAATTTGAGAACAACAAGTATTGTGACATCTTACCATCCAGATAATTTTATTTGATAGTTTGATTCTGTCAGTATAACTTCCTGGGAAAGTACAACTAGATATTCACTAGTGTCATTGTCTACCAAAAAAGACACATGTGTATCATGTATTCTTTGTATAATAGAGACAAAGACAACACTTTTCCAGACTTATAGTAAATCTACCTATTTCTATGAACATTTATTTTCACTAGTTTTGCAAGTAGAAATTAGAATGGGAAAGATGTGGGCACTACAATAAAGAAGGTAAATGGCCAACTTAAGCATATAGAACCAGTAGAGATCTCACAAATAAGACTTCGACTCTAAACACTGGTGCTAAATAATCGATCATTTGAGCAAATGAATTATTGATTGTATGATTTGCAGGAACCCAGGCAGCTAGTATATGCATAAAGGCATTGAATAAGGATTATATAGGGTTCTCTAGTAGAGCAATTCCACTTGGCAGTCTTTCATATCATGGATGCCATAGTACCATGGGCCTGCCAGAATATATGTCCCAAGTGTGAGGGTGGTTTTTACCTTAGCCTTACTTCCTGCATACTCCCTTCTTGCTCTGGGACCCACTCAAAGCTAGCAGCTTTCTGTGTCTGTATCATCCATTAATGACTCAGAGAAATATTCCCTAGTGCAATAATATGTTGCTCCTGAAACCCAAAGAGGCCTATCAAGCACTGGGCTTCCTTCTTAGCAATTGGAGTTCCAAGGTACAGCTCAGCCTTTACTATGGACAGGATGTCCCAGAGTATTATGGATGTCTGTACCTCTAAAAATTTCAAGGGTGGTAGTATTCTAAGAATTTGTATGTTTGTCTTCCATCCTCTGAAGTTCATGTGTCTTCTCAAGGCAGCCAGAGTAATTCCACTTGTTATTTGTCAGGTTCAGTTAACATCATGTCATTAATATACTGGGTCAGTGTTCGGTTGTACAGAATGCCAGCATGATCCTGGTCCATTTCGTCTATGAGGGGGGAACCAAAAAAACTGAAATTATGTTTTGAAGGATAGTCACTTGTTGTACAGACTAACCCCACCAAGTAAGTATCCTAGGAACTTGTTGGCATTGGTGTACCAGCTAGTGTCATGTGAGATGCTGTATTGGGCTTCAGTGAAATTTTATTTTTGGAGATTCTTTTAACGTGTTTGCCCATTTCGTGGTGGGTGATTTATGAGTGCGACTGCCTATACCATGCTGAGTGTTCAGCAATTTTTAACCAAAAACAGCATGACCTCCATGCCCTACTTTCCCCATTCACTCAATCACTCCCAGAGTAACTTTTATTTTCTTTCTGGATGAAAAAATTCCTCAGAGTGAAACATCTTGCTGATATGAAGGTGGTGAAACAAAACAATGGCAGGCATCAAAACTGATGAGTTCAAAAACTGTTTTGATCAATTGAAAAAGTACCTCGCTAGGTGTATTACCTCAAACAGAGAGTACTTTGAAGGTGACTTAAGTTTAAACATGTAAGAATAAATGCACAATTTTTAATTAAATTCTGATTTTTAGGGTCCCCCCTTGTAAAAAGACACAGAATAATTGGCTTTTAGAATATTAGTTTTGACAAAAGATTTTAAAATATTATCTTGAAAAAAATTTTTCAAACATATTTTAAAGTGTGTTAAAATAACATGTTAACAAAAAATTAATTTTTTTCTAATTTAACTTCTTTTTCACTCTTTTTTAAACAATGTTCTAACAGTAAAAGGGAGGATAAACAAATTAAGTAATGAGAGTTCAAATCAAATAGTTTAATTTTGACATTCTTTAGCAGAGTTTTGTAAGTTCAACTGTGGTAAGAATTTCATGATAGGTTTTCTTTTTTTTAATTGGACAAGCTTATATTCTGCACTAGAATGGAATGATACTGAGAAGTCTGATTTTACAGCACCTATATTTGGCAAAATGGTTAAAAGGATCATAATTAGAGATAACTCATGTGACAAGTATTATGTAAAAAATATTTGTCAAAGAAAAATATTCTAAATGGAGTATAACTGAAAATATTTGATTTCTAGTATTTAGACATTTCTATATAAAAAAAACAGAATGAAAATAAGCTTGCTTCAACTCAATAGAGAAAATATTTATTCAGTTAAAAATATAGTGACCTACAGAGAAGAGTCAATTGAAAGCATCAACATTTTCAAATTTATCAACCATGAAATGCAACGTTGAGCAATATTGCAGACAATCTTATGGGAAAACAAAACATAATAAGATCATATTGAAAACAATAATTCTTTAGAGGAACTTTGGTGACATGGACTAGAGAAAGATGTCTCTAAAGAATTGATTAGGCCGGGCCCGGTGGCTCAGCCTGTAATTCCAGCACTTTGGGAGGTCGAGGCAAGTGGATTGCCTGACCCACCAGTTCGAGACCCTCCCGGACAACTTGGCAAGACCTCGTCTCTACAGTAAATCAAAAAATTAACCGGGCACGGTAGCATGTGCCTGTAGTTCCAGCTACTTGGAAGGTTGAGGCAGAAGGATCGCCAGAGCCCAGCAGGTCAAAGCAGCAGTGGCCGGAAGTGTGCCACTGCACTCCAGTCTGGGCGACAGAGTGAGACTCCAACTCAAAAAAAAAAAAAATTTTGATTAAAGTACATAAATACAAACAATCTTTTATCATATGTCATTTTAAATATTTAGATAAGAAATATAAGGATAGAATTGTTTTAATGCCCAAGATCTATGTTTTTTAGTAAGAATTTTATTTTTGAAAGTAGTTTTGAACATAATTATTGTGTAGTTCACAATATAATAAAATCAATTTGACAGTTAATAAATACTACAAAAATTTATGTAATTTTTATGTAAAGACCCTTTTATTTCTCAAAAGTGTAATAATTTTAATAATAAATTTGGGTCAGCCAAATAGTAGGGAATGAAGACTGAATCCAGAGATGAATGCTAGATGGGAATAAAATTGGACCAATGAGTTTGTTGGAATTGCTGGGTCTGAAATTTCTTCACCATATCTATATAGAAATGAAACATATGCAAAGTAAAATATGGGTGTGGCACTCAGAAGTGGGGTAAAGGCTAGAAATATCTATCTAAATGTTATCAGCTTGTGAGTGTGACCAAACTATGGGAGTAGCTAGATCAGCAGAGAACAGCACATAGAATGTAATGAAAAGAAAAAGTTGGTCAAGTCTGGAGTTCAAGGTTGGTATTCTAGCCTCCAGGGGTTAATAAAATAGAAACCATTAGGAAAGAGCACAGATATATAAGAAACTATGATCAAACCAAGTTAAGTCAAGTTAAGATCTCTGATACACAGATATAAAAAATAAATATACAAATGAAGTAGTATCTCAAGGATAAGAGCCTAGCCAAACATCAAAAGATGACGACATCAGGATTGACTTGATGTTGAGATCCAGCCTTGAATTAAAGAAGATGCTAATCACAATCACTTTATAAGGAAACAGTTTGGAAATCAGAAAACCAAAGTGCAGTCTAACTCCTAGTTCTGGGGTATTAGGCAAGAATCTGATTCCATCTTGTGATCAATTATTGGGAAACAGAGCCTGACATTTCTTACACCATAATATTCCTTATTCTTCCTTCTTGCAGAATCCATGTGATGATAAACGACACAAAGACATCTGGTCCAGAGAGAAAACTTGTGACCACTTACCAAAATTCCTGGTAATTGGGCCACAAAAGACAGGTAAGGACAGTCAGTTGTGCTATTTATATTCTTTAAAATTATTTTATGACATACACCGTTATAAGGGATTTCAGGGTTAGATTTTGCCTTGTGAAATAGTTAAATATCCATGCAAGTTTATTATTTTAATGGCTTTTCATCCATAGGAATAACCCTTATACCACAAACCTCAAAAGGACCCTAATGTTACCTACTGATTAAGACTTAAGCACTAACTTCTTTAATACAGGCTTAAAAACAAATCCACAAACAGGTCAAATGCTTGAAAACTTTGTTTCACAGTTGTTGTAGCTGATCTTTAATTTTTATTTTTTGTGACTTTGCCTAATTAATTCCTGAATTAAATTATTAAAACATGCTTTGGCCTGATTCAAACAATTTTACATGGCACATCAGTCTTGAATTGACATTTTTCAGAAGTGCTGCTATCACTGCTTTCAAATATTTTGCATGTGTGGTTTGTTTTCTTTTAAATTAATCATTAGGTATTAATGGGGTTTGGATTTATTTTCTGATACATTTGAAGCTTATCAGGCATTTTTTTCCTTAGTATTTTCTCATGTTCTGAAGGACAACTGTATAAAAATGTAGTAAAAGAGAGTGAAAGTATTTCACCAATGAGATGACACTTTCAATTAGAATATTTTATACTTTCTTCAGTATGTGACAGTTTTATATACTTTGCTCATGCCCTGATTAATTAAAGTTTTTATTGAGTTGCTGTATTTTGAATTCACTACTCTGGCTAGGAGAAGCATTTTCATCAGTGGGTGCACAAACCATAACACAAAACAAACAGTCTCAATAAATAAGTCTTGCCCAGATTAAGATATTTGTAATACAAGTAAGTAGATCATTTTAAAGGTTGTGGGCAAAATTTCAAGACTATTAGATATTGGTCGCTGAAATCTTTTCTTCCTCTAAGAATATAAATTGTATTACAACAGTAAGTTAACATGTGCTGGGAGGGGAAAAGGCAGCATAGATATTCAGATATATCATTTTTGTTGTTTAAAATGTGCATTAATTTTCTACCAACTCCCTTACAGCAGTTCTAACTCTGGAATGACTACTAAAGAAATAAAACATCCCTGTATTGTAAAGTTATGTTTAAAATTCAATTTAAAGAAATATCCCCTATCATTTGTCATTGAATATTATTATTTTTTAGTTCTGCTAGAAGATTACAGGTTAGTAACTATAAATCTATTTTTCTTCTTTATTGTTTGCATTTATAAAGAAAATAAGTCATAACTTTAGATTTTAATATTTGACCTACCAGTATGGGAATGATAAAGCTATTTCCCCCAAAAAAAACAAATAGGAAGTTAAAGCAAACTGGATGATAATAATATTTTATAGGCTATGACAATGTTATTCTAATATGAAAATGGTTGGAAAAATTCTTAAAATCCAATCATAGAAGTCTGAAGTCATATTTTGTTCTCCTTATTGCTTCGGTTGGCAAAACTCCCACTGCTATCAGAAACTGTAAATCTGGGGGGATGGCACAGAAAAAGTGGAGCATCACAGATAAACACTAACAATCTGCAGTTAATGCAAAGCTGTCTTTCAAAGACGTAGTGCATGCATCTCTTGCAATAATCATGAGATATAAAAGTGGTTCTCAAATTCCTATTTACTCAGTAGTAGATAAAGACTGGAAGGACATGATATTCTACTTCACCATTGCTGAATCCTCGAAGGCATACCCGTGGGATGAATGTGGCTTGAGAAATAAGGGTGGTTAGAAAAGAAATAGGTAGAGATCATGGTAGCCACAGACTTAAGGCACTCAAGACTCCAGTCATAGCCTTTCTGTACATTCCTCATCATTCAGAGTCAACTTTTTGTATTACTTTTTGTATAAAAGAGGATTTATTCTAGAGTTAAATTTAGCATAATAATTGTAAGAGCATAATTCATTGGCTTTAATCATTCAAAAGATTGGTGTTCTCGGTGTCAATATTAATTTCTCATGATTTGGCTGGCTTACCCTATACATTACAACTAAAGAGAAGTTGATTGTATATAAAATAGAATAGGCCTTTTCCTCTTCTTCCACAAAATATTTATATTTAAAAAATTAAGTAAAAATGAATGTCAAGGATAGTTTAAAACATAGGTGATAATTTTAAAACATATATTTTGAGATAATGGGCCCAGATTTTATGGTTGGTTATATGAGCATCAAGTCTCATATATTCTGTCCCTAGCTGAGGTGCTTTCTCCTTCCTGTCAGATGTGTCTTGATGTCCCAGCAGCCCCTGGTGACATGAAGGTATAGAGTTCAGAACATAAAGCCTTTGAGTTTCTATAGACCAGGGGAGATCTGTATACAATTCTGTGTGACCACCAGGGTTATTAAACATTTCTACATACTACTGAGTTGAGAACATAAAGTATCTAATTTTGGATATTTCGCAATAATTCAAAAATACCTCTTTATCTGTTTCCTGCCACATTCGACACCTCAGGAATATTAAACTACCACTTTCTCAGCCCTCTTGTGTGTTTCAAAAAAAATCTCTCTCTCTCTCTCTCTCTCTCTCTCTCTCTCTGTCTCAGTTCATTCTCATCATCATTTAAGTATTTTTATGAAAGTCATATTTAAAAGTATTAGAAAGAACACTTCTGAATTTCATATTTGCACCCAGCTACTATTCTATTGCTAATTCATTTCTTCTCTCTAGAATATTTTTGTTTTTCTTCTCACATTTTCTCCTTTTTGAGCTCCTTCTATTTTTAGGAGCAAATCAGATCAGCTCCTCAAGATTCCTCCTTTCCCTCTTAATGATTATATCTGTATTTTTCAGTATGTTTGAGGTATTTCTTCTGTCTAACCTCCAGGATTCTAATTTCATTCGGTCTCCCTCAGCTTCAATTTTAATTGAGTTTGTATAATTTGATTTCATATGTATTATTTTTAAAATTCCTAACTGCATCCCCATAAGGGCACTTACTGATTTTGCCATCTTATTTCAGTAGGAGTCATTCTAAGTGTGGTGTCTTCCATCCAGGGTGGATAGTCCCCTTAGATCTGTTGTTATTTTATTTCCTTTAGCTGCTAATACCTCTTGGCGGTCCCATAAAACTGTGAGTATCTAAACAGGTGGCAATCTCATTAGTACTCAAATCACAGCAGCCTTTGTTCATATGAGCTTAAGGTCAGTGTGAATAAAATGCTAATTCCCTGCTGCCTTCTCTACTTCCAGTTCCTCCAGCTATAGTATCTCTCTGTCAGTCCACCTGTGTAAGTCATCTCCAGTCTCTCCTAGGGCTAGGAAATCTAACAATCCTTCCTTGGTCCAAGGTCTCACAAAAGGGCTTACTTTTTCAAAAACAGAAGTCTTGATTTATGAGAGTTAGGATGACCCTTATGAGTCTTTATTGCCATAATGTCTGGTCTCTGGTCTTGCTCTTAGGGAAATACAGTTGAGATTACATTGAGTCTACTGCCATGCGCACACAAGTGGGTTCTATCCACTAGTGTGTCCAGCCTAATGCCTCAGTCATCAGACTCAATTGTCCTATTTTGCCAGGGGAAGACATTGAACTGGCCATCTTTCTAGAATCTTGCCCTTCTCTTTCAACCTTGCCATGTCACACTTCTGTTTTTAAGGAACAGTTTAGAATATACTTCTTCCAAAGCCCTCACTGACTTTGCAAATCTAAATCACCCATTTTCTCATATGTTAAAAAAGCACTCTGTACTTCTCTCATTATGGTAACTGTCACACTATATCACAATTACTACGGTGCTTTACTCAAGTCCACGCAAGGACTTCGAGTTTATTGAGGGAAGCACATGTTTTTCTTATCAAGAGCTACTTCCTGGCCATACACAGAGGAATACATCTACCTCTGTTAGATAGTTTTATTTAATTGATATGAAATTCAATAGTAATTGAAGACCCATCAGTTTGGGTACTGTGCCTGATTATAAAGATAGAGATAGAAGTGCCTGTGCCCTTCTTGTTTTAACCACTCACCCGACTCCAGGGGGAAATTGCATGATTTCTGAAGTGTTTCCCTTGCTGGATCATTGGTGTACTCTACTTTGACTATAACTAATATAAACCAGAAATTTAGGTTAGTAGAATCAAGCAGACGAGTAAAAGCACTCTTCGATCATTGCCACATGGAATGAGCCTAATTAATTTTAAGAAAAACAATTTTGAAACTGAAAAGAGTTGATTATTTGAATATTATTGTTGGGCAAAAAAAATGCCCTAAAAATGCTAATTTGTCTCTTTTCTTATTAGCACATAACCTTTATCTTCTTTTTTGTAATAGGAACGACTGCACTTTATTTATTTCTTCTAATGCACCCTTCCATCATAAGCAATCTCCCCAGTCCCAAAACGTTTGAAGAAGTTCAATTCTTTAATGGCAACAACTATCACAAGGGAATTGACTGGTAAGAAAAATAACAAAAAATAAATTCCATTATTAACACATGCTCAATCACTGCAGAGCAATTATAGATGAATGCATAGCATCTGCATAATTACAGAATAAATTTGTTATGCTCAATTCTACCACAGTGAATTAGAAATTAATTTATAATGATGATATGTTTAATCAGTGTTGCTTATAATTTGATTTGGACAGTGCAATAATGATAATATTTTTCTGGTAAATTAGTATGATTGAATAAAGAACATTATGGGATATATTTCATCAGAATTATTCATAAGAATATTTAAAATTCTCTTTATGCACACTATTATTTGACTGTGCCTAAAATTCTTTTTACCGGACACATAATTTGTCTTCACAATGATGATTGAGGAAAAAATTAAATCAGTAAATTGTTTTATTTTGTACTCTGTGACATGTATCTTTGTTAACTACGCAAACTATATATGTGATATCATAATGTAGGCTGATATTTGGCATGCAAATATTAACAAAACACTGCCAAAACCATATCAATTTTAGCCACACACATGCACAAATATTAATTAGCACTTATAAAATATGAAAAAAATAAAAATCACATGTTTTTCATAAGCTAAAATAGAATAATTCTGATATTGGAAATGATCTTCTCTCTAGTGATTTTTTTCTATTTTATACCAATTTTCCAAGAATATGGTCCCTAATTCAATTTCCAGTTACCAGGCATATAAAGCAAATCCCACCTGAGGAAAATTTCCCTCACTACATACATCTGCAGCATGTAACTTTGTATGTCATTATCATGCATGAACATGTCCTCAGTGAAGAATCTGTTTGTTTTAGACACAGTGAGGACTGGGACTGGGCAGGGGCAATACTAGTGAACATATTGGGCTTCTCATTTTGGGGAGAGATGTGTCCACTCTCACTCTGCATCTAGGATGTTCCTGTCCTACTTTAGCTTTAAAAAGTTAATAAGTTTTGGAGTTGCATACAAGTTATTAAAAGCAGAACAGCAATTTTCTCTGATCTGTGAGCTCAGATGGAACACAAATTGTTGAGCGGGAATATAGATGAGACTCTCACCACTCCACATTTGGGAAACATAATAACAAATGTCAAAGAGGAAAATAAGTGTCTTATATGAATACTTAATTGCTCTCATTATTTATTTCTAGAACATTTGAGGGTTAGAGAAGTGATGAGCTGTAAGGAGGGTTACACACATAATTAAAGCCTTGCACTGAATTAACCTCAGAACATATTGATTCCATAATCCACACACAGAGGAACGTTCCGACAGCATATGGAGGAGTGAACCTACCGAGGCACCACAGGATCAACTGGCAGGAAATATTCCCTTAATTACCCTAGATAGACTGTAATGTGTTCACATTGCTACATATACTAAAAATTATGCAGAAGTTAAGAAGGAGGAGAACAGCTATGCTCTAAAACATTTGGTGTTTTATAGTTCTTCTAACTTACACATCTTTCTGGTTTGTCTGGTTTGTGAAATTTAATCTCACCTTAGGAACTTCTGCATCCAAATTTGCAAACATAAACTTACTATTTTAAAATATCAGCTAAACAGGATGGTGCAGTTTGCTATTTGCCAGGGACCAACTTCCTATTTCTGGATTTGATTTTTGACGGCATAGAACATCAGCCCAAATCTACTGTATTTTCCCTTTGTTCCTCATCAGCCTACCTATTTCATCTCACTCCTTCCCTGCACAAAATGGGCCATTTATTTAAAGTAATATATTGTATTGTTTTCACATTCTAGATATATGGAATATTTACAATTTAAACTAAAACATCACAATAATTAGAAATCGGTATAAATGAGTATAAAAATGTTCAAATTATTTTATGTTCAGTGTGTGGAAAAAAACCCAGATTAATTAATTGCCTTTCTCTACCTTCAGGTATATGGACTTTTTTCCTACACCATCCAACATTACAAATGACTTTCTGTTTGAAAAGAGTGCTAATTACTTCCATTCAGAGGAAGCTCCCAAGCGAGCTGCATCTCTCCTCCCCAAAGCCAAAATCATCACCATCCTCATTGACCCCTCAGACAGAGCTTACTCATGGTACCAGGTATGAGCAGTAAAAAATTATTCTAAAAGTATTTGGTAGTAGTTTGAATATAAGCAATGGTGAATCACCAAAGGGGAGCCCACAAACATTGAAGAGTCAAGTACAGGAACACTTAACTCCCTCAAAAAATCCATGAGTAATAATATATGAATATTTAGCTCATAACAAGTTGGGCAAGGACTTTCAAGCATAAGATAATAAGGAAATAGCACACATTAAAGAATTAAAAGATTACCCAAACCATATAAACATGTAAAATGTTGATCTATCCAAAATTAACAAAATTAAAAGTCAGTATCTACAGCATCTTTAACAAAAACATGCAAATGGCTTCGTGTCCTTATTTTATAAGAAATTCCTTCAAATTGTTAATAAATAATCACAGCAAAATGAGAAAACATCACAGCTAAACAATCATGCACAAAAAATGCAGCTGCCCAACAATTTATCTGAAAAAAATGTTCAACCCAATTAAGTATCAACAAAATATAAATCCAAATGATACTCTTTTTTAAATACCTTGACAAAAATTGTGATGTTTTCCCATGCTGGCAAGAGAGTGATGATAAAAGTTCTTAAACGTTCCAAAAAAAGGTACAATTGGGATAGTTCCTGAAAACTCTTTTGGTAACAGTTACCAAAATGAATTTAAAGATCCTTTGGTGCTATGATTCCTATTCTGGAATTGAATATGAGGAAAACGTCAAAGGGATGGACAACTATTTATGTACTTTGTGGCACCATCTATAAGAGTAACAACAAGAGGAAAGGTAAATGCCCAATAATATAGATTTGTGTCATGCAGAAATGAAATATCCTACAACAACATTTAACTATGGTTTAATTAATAAAATAGTCATTAAACAGTGTTATTCCAATGTGTGGATGGATATTAATCAATTAATCACAAAGATACATAGTTAGACATTGTGAATGTGCTGTAAGGAAGTATGTAAAGGTATTATGTAAGTATTCTCTAGAAAAACGAACATAAGACAAAACTGAAGAATGAGCAGCTATTAATCAAAGCAGGATATAATGTGGGTGGGGAAGAGGAAACAGCACATGCAAAGTGCATTGGGTATAAAGAACCACAGCACATTTAAAAAGCTAAAGGAAATTCCATGTGGTTTATGGAAAATCCCCAGGTAGAAAGACCTGTGTGAGATGAGGCTGAGAGGTACACTGGGGCTAGAACCTCGTGACTGCTGGTTTCAAGCAGTTGAAAGTCATTGAAATACAGTAGCCGGGATGTGACCCTCAGGTTTCCTTTTAGAAGACATTATTATCCAGTATTTGAAGAATGGGTTGGAATAGGGCAAATGACTATTCAGAGAAATTAAATTAGAGGCTACTGGAACAGTTCTGCTGACATGTGGAGGGAGTGTAGACAAAGATGGTAAGTAGAAATTGAGTGAAGAGTAAGTATCAAGAGATGATTAGGGATTAAAACCAGCAGAATTTGATGAAGAAGCAGCGTCAAGGATGAATTAAATTCCCCATCTGGGCAACTAGATAATGGTCATATATTCCCATGATGAAAGAATCCCTGAAGAAGGATACAGGAGGTATCAGGGTGGGGTGTGAGATAGAGGGCTAAAACGCATGGGTTATGATCATGACAAATGGCACCTTACCATAACTGAAAGAAAGAGTAGAGTCCACTGGCACTCTGGGGAGAGACCTGGGCTGGAGACAAATCTGAGGGTCAGAGATGTGATGCCAGAGCCACAAAATGTTATAATCACCTAAGGAGAGAATTTAGAGATGAAAAGTTCAAAGTTGGATGAGGCAGCAAGAGAAACAAGAAAATACAGCCAGAATAGAAGAAAAAAAAACTCCAGGAGTGTAGTGACAGCAAATCCAAGGGAAAGGAGTGCTGCCAAACAGAAGGGTGACAGCAGTGTCAAGCAGTTGCTCAGAAGTCAGACCGTTAGGCAAAACGGAAGACATGGAGGGCAATGGAGCTCTTAGCCACAGAGTGAAAAAAGCGAAGTCAGGCAGAGGAATAAGTCAATGGGGATGAAGACAGAGCGGCAGCACTTACAAAAGACCCAGAATTATGATTTTGAAGGAGAAAAACAGGACAGAAGCTTACTACGTACAAGCTAAGGTGGAGTCAAGGAAAACGTGCTCTGTGGTGGTGGTGATTTGAATTAAGGTGGAACATTTCCAAAGAAAAAGAGACATTAAAGTCCCAGAAGAAAGAAATGGTAATCAATCCTGTGAAGACCCAGGAAAGACTGGCTACAGGAAATAGCTCAGATGGTGGGACTGGGGAAAGCACTCCTTCTATTTCTTTTTTTTTTTTTTTTTTTTTTTTTCAGTTGGAGTCTCACTCGGTCGCCCAGACTGGAGTGCAGTGGCCGCTCTTGACCACCGCAGCCTCGACCTGCCGGGCTCCGGCGATCCTTCCGCCTCAGCCTTCCCAGTAGCTGGAATTACAGGCACGCGCTACCACGCCCGGCTGATTTTTTGATTTATTGTAGAGATGAGGTCTCGCTGCCCAGGCGGGTCTCGAACCCGCGGGCTCAGGCCATCCACTCACCTCAGCCTCCCAAAGGCGCGGGATTACAGGCTGAGCCACCGAGCCCGGCCACTCCTTCTATTTCTAAATATCTTCACTTTTCTTATCTGTGAGTCTTCCAGCAGTCTGTTGAAGCCTATGGCCATCATTTCAAATTTATATTTTAAAAACATAAAAGTAAATACATCGGATTACAAAAGAAGCAGCTATATTGAAATATAATTATCAAAATAAATTTTCAATCAGTAACAAAGTTTTCTTTATTAAATTGTTAAATGAAAAGTCCTAATATTGAATCTAAAACAACATTTTGATATATCTAAAACACCTATAATGTGATATAAAGATAACATTTTTATTAGTGGTAAAATCACAATGCAAAAATTACTGTTGCTAATGTCTATGTACACAATTAAAGAAAATGCTGCCGGGTTCGGTGACTCAGCCTGCAATCCCACGCCTTTGGGAGGCTGGAGTGAGTGAATTGCCTGAGCCCGCGGGTTCCTCGTCAATTTTGATGCCTTTTAGTGCTTTTTTTCTATTTTTTGGTTCTCCTCTTCCACACTGGCAAAACACTTCCCTATAAGATCTTTTTTCATCCAAGGGGGGGAAAAGGCTCTCAGGGGAGATTGAGTGAATAGAGAGGGTGGAACACGGGGGTTCATGCTATTTATTATCATAACTACTGAACACTCGGCACAGTGTGGTCAGGTGGGCTCATAAATCACCCATCATGACATGAGCAAACATATTGAAAAAATCTCAACAAAAAAAAAAGTCACTGAAGCAGAATGTAGCCTCTCACAACACCATTAACTGGGACACTGATGCCAATGGGTTCCTAGAACACTTACCTAGCAAAGGAAGCCTGTACAAGGGCCCAGTCCTCCAAAAGATGATTCTGAGTTTTTAGGGTGTCCCCTCATATGTGCATATTTAATACCTTTAGAATTTAATACTAACGTAAATAAGACTAAAAGGAAATCCTTAATGAGTGTAGTAAGATAAGTAATTTTTATGTTTTCTTCCTTATTTTTCTGCCACTGTAATTTCCACCCCAAATTTGTTTTATAATGGACCTCACAGAGAAGCTATAGTATTATTTTTCTATAAAATTTGTCCTTTTGTGAATTTCTGGTCATATTCTTATGAGTTTTAATTTTTTTAATAAATGAGTATGTATTATTGAAAACAAATACTGACAGACAGAAAAACATGCCATCACAATTGGATTGTGAGTAATTGGGGAGCCAAATGAAACACAGATTAGAAGCAAAATTCATAAATCACCAACAGAATCCATGAGTCAGCATTTCCCACAAGATGTGCAAATATTTATTTCTCACCTTATGAAAACTCATATTGCAAAGCAAAATAAACTTATTTTTACAAGTGTACCAAAAACATTGAGACGTTAAACCTTAATTAAAAGTTGTACATTCAAATATTTGCGAGAAACATTGAACATTTTTCTAGCAGGAAACTTGGTCATCACTTAGAACAGATATACATGAATTTTTTTTTCACACAGATTAAGCCAGTTAAATAAAAGAGAATCTTTATGATGTGGGTAAAGATTCTTCTTCTTCTTAAGACCTGCTTCTTAAAGTAAATTCTTTGAACATACATACAGGTTTGAAAGGAATTATTTTTTCTGATAATACTTTTTATTGCTGTATTGCTGAAAGTAGGACCCCAAACTGCTCCACATTTCAAAATAATGTAGCCTATTACTTAGCTAGTCCTGTCTAGTCAGTAAATACCATAAATCCAAAGCTCAGCAGGTGTAATTCAGAAACTCCTACAAATGTCACCTGCCACTGTAATTTCTACCCCACATTTGTATAATCGACCTCACAAAGGAGCTATAGTGGTATTTTTCCATAAAATATGTCCCTTTGTGACTTCCTGGTCATATTTTTATGCTAATCTACTTAGCTGCAGGAATATAAAGAAAAGTTGGTGCTAAGCTAGTGTAAGTCAGTATAAAACAGATTAAGCCCAGTTTCATATGTTCACTGCCTAAAATAGAAATGTTAGCATGACTGTATTAAATATTCACATATTATGTTTCCCATTCTTTATTCAAATTATATAATCTCTACACATTTTGCTGACTAAATGAGTAAATCTCTATATTCTCAGCATAAGTACATATACATGCAAGAAATTACAGTGGCAGAAAAATAAGGAAGAAAACATAAAAATTACTAATCTCACTACACTCATTAAATATTTCCTTTTAGTCTTATTTACCTTGTTATTCAGTTCTATAGGCATTAAATATACATATATTAGGGGAGACCCCAAAACACCCAGAATTATCTTTTGGAGGGCTGGCCCCTTGTAGTACAGGCTTCTCTTACTAGGTAAGTGTTCTAGGAACCCATCAGCATCAGTGCCCCAGCTAACGTTCTTGTGAGAGGCTGCATTTGACTTCAGTGACTTTTTTTTGGTGGGGGGATTCTTTCAATGTGTTTGCCCATGTCATAAACATAGAATAATGAGAGGACTTCAAAAGTTTCTGCCACTTACTGGTTACTCTGTAGCCATTCCCCAACTCCTAATCCTCTTTACTTTTCTAGTTATTTTTCTTCTAACTCATATGTGAGGCTCATCACTCACACAAAAGGCCTTTTGTTACACAGTTGTAACAGGTGCCAGTCTACTTCTGCCCTCACCCTATACTAGATTTTAGTACTGAATTTTATTCAAGTTAACTTAGATTTCATGCAATACTTTTCTACACACAGCTCATCCACCTTCACTCAATCATTTATGGGTCTGTCACAGGAGGTAACTTCTACCTCTATTCAAATATACGACTCTATTACAATCGATTGATCTATTGTCTCCCACATTAGATTTGATTTCTTTGAAAATAGTGATTATGTCTTACTTATATCTTTTTATCTCTAGAATCTGTCTCAGATCTTTGTTTTAGAAAGAAACTTAGTAAATGCTTGTGAAGTTGTATTGGCTACTAAATTTATCATTGAGCTGGGCTCTTTCCTGCTTGACCAATGATGATTTGGTGTGAAGGACTCAGAGGATTTAGTATTAAAAAGCAGGATTGAAGCAGTATTTGAGAATTAGCAGGTTTAGGTAGAAACCCAGGAAAAAGCAAAAGGAAAGGACTGTGGGTGACATCAGCATGAACGTGATACCTAAACAAGCATTAGAAACAGATATGTAGCCGGGCTCGGTGGCTCAGCCTGTAATCCTGTGCCTTTGGGAGGCTGAGGTGAGTAGATTGCCTGAGCCCGCGGGTTCGAGACCCGCCTGGGCAGGCGAGACCTCATCTCTACAATACATCAAAAAATCAGCCGGGCGTGGTAGCGCATGCCTATAATTCTGGCTACTTGGAAGGCTGAGGCGGAAGGATCGCCAGAGCCCAGCAGGTCAAGTTTGCGGTGGCCGGGAGCGGCCACTGCACTCCAGTCTGGGCAACAGAGTGAGACTCCAACTCAAAAAAAAAAAAAAAAGGAACAGATATGAACTTTCTTAGTACCCACAGCACCTCCTACACAGGGATGCTGGCGAAAGGTTGGCGTCTGCAGGAGTGACTGTAATGAAACAATGGGCCTAGTAACATGTAAGCCTACTCTTACCCATCTAAATCTCTTTTCATCAGACTTGATTTATCTGGTCCCTGACTTCTTTTCACTTTTAATCAGATCCATGAAGAAAACTCTGGCACTCTGTCTCTGCCTTTAACCTAAACATTTTAGAAATGAAGATAACCACAAGCTTATCTGCATGCCATTTGATATATAGTGAAGGCCTATACTTTAAAACACTTTAAAAGAAGCCATATGGAAAATACCTGTTGCAATATAAGCAATTTTTACCATATTTTCATTCTAAAATAATCAATTTTTATTGTTTGGGGAAATGAATGAGATGCACATACACATTTCAATTACCCACAGGCATGTGGACATCCACACACATCCACCCACACACACAACCAGGCATTTTTTTAAAAACTAAGTTTACAATCGATTTTCTTGTTAAAGCACCAACGATCACATGAAGATCCAGCTGCCCTGAGGTTTAATTTCTATGAAGTTATTACAACCGGACATTGGGCCCCATCAGACTTAAAAACTTTGCAGAGAAGATGCTTAGTACCTGGTTGGTATGCAGTCCACATAGAAAGATGGCTAACTTACTTTGCTACTTCACAGGTAATGTTCTCAGATTATATTTTTCTGTATATTATACCATGATTTTGTTGCACTGACAAACAGAAAACGTGAATTAACATTGCCACAGGTAGTGATTTATAATCAGAGACAATAAGTAAGGATGAAATGTGCATTTTTACATTTTTAATCTCATTAAAAATATTAAATTGTTATATCTGTCCTCAAAGTGATAAATCCTCACATAGGAGACATCATGTCATTCACAGGCAACAATTCTCAACTACTAGTAGAGTAGTGAGTTAGACAATAACTTTATGGAACACCAAGTGCAGATACCTGCGTGTTGTCTGTTTTGTGGGACCCTTATAAGGAAAGAAAAAGGTGGTCCTGATTTAGACTGCAAAAATGTGAAGTGGAAGCATTATAACAACTCCAGGAACATGGCATAGGACATGAAATAAGAGTTTGAAAAAAGCTCCAATATCCTTTGTACTCTGCATTTCAGCTCAGAGAACAATTAAAGTCCCAGCAGGTGAGCTTTAGCCTTTTTTCAACATTCTTCTGACAGTTCTAATATCTAAGGCCAATAAAACATTTCCCTCCTGCCTCCTGTCTTGGTTTGTAAGTTGAGGTGGGTGATTTTCAAGAGGATAAACACTATTTCTAAGCCCTTGGCTCCCAGGTTAACATATGGAAATTTGGTAGACTGGATAATTATTCAGTTACACTACAGATGGAGAATTGTGTTTCTACTAAATCAAGAAAGTGTTATTTTTTCTGATTTACAGAAAAGTAAGCTAAGGGCTATAACACAATCATTCACAAGAAATGATACCTGTGGGAAACTTTAATTATTATTTATTTGAAAGGACACAAGAATAATAAGCATTAAAAATTGTATTCTAAGTAGTGCATATTTGCTTCCTATTTACACTGACCTAATTTATTAATGCTATACCAGGTCAAGGGAGACAGCTCAGTCTATTCAATTTAGTTTTGTTCTTCATAAAGTGACTATTTTTGACTTTACAGTTGCTAATTATTGATGGACAGCAGTTGAGAGCTGACCCAGCTACCGTGATGGATGAAGTTCAGAAGTTTCTGGGAGTGACACCTCATTATAACTACTCTGAAGCACTAACGTGAGTCTATTCTCATACTTGATTGCATTTCCAGTATTTGCTATCATAAATCATCACTGGTAGGCATGCATATAACATAATTAACACTAGCTATAAATTTATACATCATTATGCTACTCAAAAGCAGCCAAAGGAATATCCACATTACTCATGTAGTGGCTATCTTTTGATTACCAGAAATACTTTATTTTGCAAAGTTTATCTTATAATATGGCAAACTCTACCTTTTTGTGAGCTTTTCACAATTATCAGTTTGGTTAAGTAAATGTTTTACATGCCTCCTCTGTGCAGGAAATGTCCTAGAAATTTAGATTACAAAGGGAAAAAAGTTATAGCGTCTTCTTCCAAGTAATTTACAGGTTGTAAATGAATGTAGTTTTTATGGCAGAATTGGGAAAGGAGCATGCTCATGTTTTATTCTGTATTTATTAAATTATTCCATATTTTACTTATTATTTTTTTCTGTTTTATTAAATTATTTATAACCAAATACAATCATGTATAATGTTCCAGTTATCTATTGTTGCGTAACAAACCATCACCAAACCCATAAAATAGATGTCATCTATTTTATTATGTTCATGGAATTTGTAGGTTGGGAATTAGGACACAGCCTGGATATCTTGTCAGTGCTCATAATATGTGGGGCCACAACTGGGAAGACAAATATCCGGATATGACTCAATGACTGGGGACTGAAATTATCTGAAGGCTTCCCTTTTACCTCAGGCTCCTAAACTGAGTGGCTCGAAGGCTAAGAGCAGTGGGTTGAAGACTCCATGTGGCTTCCTCAGGGTTGTGGCTTTCTCACAGTATAGTGACTGGGTTCCAAGAGTGAGAGAATAAGTCACGGGGTCAAGTTATCCAAGAGAGCTGTGGCCTTTTTGACCTAGACCTGCAAATCACACAGCATCACTTGCACTGCATTTTATTGGTTTCAATACTCACTAAAGCCAGTTAAAATCCCAGGGGAGAGAAATGAGACCTCACCTCTTGGTGGGGAGGGGCAAAGTCATTATGTAGAAGACAATGTTGGATGGGAGATATTGTTGTTGTCATCTTGGAAAAATATTTGGGTAATTAAAAGTGGAGGAAAAAATGTAAAGAGACAAAATAACAAACAAAAAACAAAACCTCCAAGCACACAAAATATGCCTTAAAAGGACATGTATTTTACTCATAAAAGACTCCTCCACATGGTCTGATATAAAGCCTGTTAAATTTTAGACAAAATTCTAACAAGCTTGATTATATAATTTCCCAGTTCACAGCGGATTAGAATCAGCAATTAGACAATTAGAGAGGCTAACAGAGGGACCGGAAAAGCAGTAATCAGATTGGGTTGTTCCTTATCCACTAAAACAACCCTAATGAAGTTTTTACCTACACATGGAAATAACAACAACATGAGACATATCCCTGTTAATTAAGTAGACAAAGCATCCTACAATATGCTTTGTATTAATAGTTACTGATGTTAGCTTATCTTCTCTGGTCTCTCAGCAGTAGTTTAGATAATGTTTTTATCCAGTTCACTACAAAGTCACTTACAGTTTATTAAACCTGTAAAATCATATTTTTGAAGGAGAGATTACAAACAAGTACAAAATTTATGGTTTTTAATATATCACACACACCACAAAAATTAATAACAATAGACATGTTCAGTAGAATAAAAAACTCTCAAATGCTAGCTAACCCATGTCCTAAAAGTAGTCTCATAGTTGTATTGAGAAAGCCTTTGCATCTTAATATCACAATTTCATGCCCACTAAAATAAAGCCATAAAACAACAAATTGATGTAACTTAGAAAGGATAAATGTCCTTTGTTAGACTTAAGTCATATAAAGTTGCCAATGCAGTAAATGAATTCAGGACAGCAAAATAATGTGGATTCAAGGTTATGACAAAGCTATCTTTAAAAATGACTTTCAATATTCTGGATAGCTCTCCTTTCTCAGATTGTATTAAGCTCTGCCTCACAACAGCTGCTATGGAGAGCAAGGGGAGACCACAGCCCATCCTGAGGCCTCTGCGCTACCTGAGAGCACAGGAGATGCTCTCAGCATGTGTATAAATATCTTGGCTTTGTTTCCAGGACTGTATTTTACCTTAATGCAGTTAAATATTCTCATCCTGAGGCAGAAAATGATGTTTAGGGGCACCGTTATGCCGACTTCTCTATCTCATTTTACACAACATGCGGAATTATTTTTCCTCTTGGGAAATTAATGAAAACTAGAGAAAGGACTGTGATAGGCAAAGAGTAGATTGAAAAGTCCAGGTTGGAAATGACTCTGTCTTCCTTTTATCCATTTAACTAGTGATGTATTTAATTTTAATTGATAATATGTACTAGGACAACTTGGACTGCGAGAATCAGGTCTCCAATAATAGGTTGGGCAGGGAACTGTGAAGAGAACTTTCTCCCCTTAAATGAATTCACATATGTGCAGAGGCAAATTGCAGGTGCACCAGTATTATAGGAATCGGCCCAGGGCAACAAAATATTCTGCAACTAATTAACTTTACATCCCAGTCAATTATGCTTCATCCTTCTAAAACATCTGCTGAGTAAAACAGAGTGCAAGCCTTTCCAATGTTTTATGCATGCAGCAATCCCATAGCAATGAATTTAAAATTTTCCTTCTTATTTAGTTCATTCTTTCATTTTTCTTATCTTCTTAGTCCTAAACAATAATTCTCACACATTTGGCTTTTAATAAAACAATGAGATCACACAGCCTTTCTTTAGTAACTCAGTGCAGCTGTTAAAGTAAAACATTAGAATTTTCTTTGAGGATAGCAACCTGAATTATCCAACAGATCATCTGCCTTCAACAAAAGAAATAAGGACTTGTCTAATCTTCTGCTTTATTATTATACTTCCAATATCCTAAAAAAGTGTAAACATTTTGAACTGTAAAAGATACAGTACTTTTCCCAATTGAAAGGTATAATTTATGTTTCTATTCAGAGAAGTACAACTGCATTGCACCCAACCCCCTTAATGCATAGCGTCCAATGATTTACATAACGTTGTTAATATATTTTGACAGGGAAATCACATTCATAAGTAATATCTTAGAAATGAGTTGAATTGATTCAAACCAATGGACATACAAAAGTATATTTTCTTTATCCATAGGTAAGGCTCTCTCACTGAAAATTCTGTGTACAATTCATAATGATTATATATTTATCTATTGTAGCTTTGATCCCCAAAAGGGTTTTTGGTGTCAACTACTGGAAGGAGGAAAGACCAAATGCCTTGGAAAAAGCAAAGGCAGAAAATATCCACCCATGGATCCAGAGGTAATATTTTCTTAATCTTTGACTTACTCTGGCAAAATCTGTGCATATAGCAGCTTCAAAATTAGTAATAAGAAACTTGCTTCCTTTCTCTGCTCTTTCTTTGCAATTAATATTTGTAAGTATTTAGAAGATGATATAGATAGATGATACAGATAGATACAGACACAGATCCAAAGGATTAATATATCTCTCTAGAAACTGCTGTTTCAATGCAATTAAAACATAAATACCCATTGAAAAGTAACTCCTTTCCAAATGTATGAAGCACTTAAGTAAATTTTTATTAAACATGTAATTTATATTTATAAAATAAAGTATTATTATTATTTATTCAGCACATACCTTCAATGCTGATACCATGCATGGTACTGAGAAAAGCAGTGGTGACTACAAGAATAAAACAATTATGAACCCAGATTTGTTTTAAGACAAACAAATTAGTTATGGTCACTGACTTATAATGGGATGGACAAAACAATGCCAAACTAGACTATGAAAAGGCAGAAAACTATCTCAGTAAATGTAAGAATATGGAGAGAAATGCCTTATGTCGTAGACTAGTGTTGGGAAACCAGCCAGTAATCAGCTCAGCCAGCCTCTCATAAGTATTTCTCCTATGGCAAAGTGGGCAAAGGGATGAAACAAGTAATTCATGTTACTATGGAAATAGAAGTACCAGAAGGTCCTTAAACTACACCTTTGAACTCAATAATTTTAAAAGAGCTTCAGAAATCACTTTAATCTGCCAAGAAATCAATGTAGTGTTCCCACTACTACTATAAACATCTTATTCCAAAATTGAAGTGTTTACAATCTGGTTTAAGGGAAGTAACATAATGAAATACCTGGTGAATAGTCCAACATGAAATGTAGTTGTCTTAAATCCATTTCCACAGTATACACAAAAGTTGCTAAGGGAGTTTTATGAAGAAAAGACCTATTTGTGTTATAATATTGAGGAGCACTTAAGAGAGATGATGGAACTTTGACCAGATGGAAAACAATGTATGAGTCACTGTTACCTATTCCTGCACAGGGAAAGTATTAATCTCTAATTTTATTAAAGAGATAGAATTATGGTAATTGGGTTATAATATGAGGTAAGCAGCATCAAGAAAGAGAGCTCAATTATAAATGTTCTGTTTTTCAGAAATCTGTGGAAATAAAAAATAAACATAAATCTAGAATCATTGATATATTTTATAATTTTTAAGCATTTATCTAATAAAGCTCTACAACTTGACTAGACATATAAGAATTATTTTTTAAAAATCAAGCTTCAGAAATCTTATAATATTTTTGAAACAGAAAATTCTTAATGATTAAAAGATCTATTTTAGTCTTAAATAAATATAGGAAATTTTTGTGTGACATTGCAAACTATTTTTTTGGAATCATGACTTTAAGTGTTTAGATTATTTTATGTTCACTTTTCATTTTTATCCTATGGGCCAATTTTTAAAGGATATGTATGATTTTTATCTGGCGCATTTCTGCAGATTTGGTTCCCTGTGAGGTCTCTACCTCATTTGTCTCTAGTATTATACTCCTATCATCAATTTCTCTTTCTGTGTAGACTTCATAAATCCCGCAATAAATATATGTTGTAATGGCAGGTAAGCCACATAGGATATGCCTGTATCTATTTTTATTTTACAGCTACACGGTTACCAAATCTTTTCAAAAGGTAAAAATAACTGATACTTAAGGAAAAATACAAAAGACAAATATTTTGTAGACACCCACATTGTAATAGAATTTTGTAGGAAATGTAGATGATATAATCCTATTTTATGAAACTAATACCTTCTTTCAACTCTTCTTTTTCTTTTTGCTTTCCAGTCTAGAACTTTTCTCTCTAATTACTACCGAGATCATAATGTGGAACTGTCCAAACTGCTACACAGACTGGGGCAGCCTCTGCCGTCATGGCTGAGACAGGAGCTGCAGAAAGTGAGATAGCACTGGAGACAAGAACCAAGGCTCTCAAGATACTTACTTTTACTATTTAATTAAAACAAAAAATACCCCTACAACTTTTATTCCCTTAATGCACTTGTGATTGTCAACAGAGATCTATGTGAATAAATGTCCTTCAATCTTTTTTCATAAAATGAAAATTGTTATATATGCACGCATTGACAATTACTAGCATCAATTCCTGTGTATGCTTTTGGGAAATACTGTGGGGGTTTGTGGCATTTTTCAGTTTCTAGTGTGGGGATCATAACACAGCCCAGTTTCTCTGTTAACCATAAGGTTTCAGAAACTCCATGTATGACTGAAAATCCAGATTATGCACAAGTGACCGATTAAAATGTTGAGGAAGCCGGGCTCAGTGGCTCAGCCTGTAATCCCAGTGCTTTGAGAGGCCGAGGTGAGTGGATTGCCTAAGCCCACGGGTTCGAGACCCGCCCGGGCAACTTGGCGAGACCTCATCTCTACAATAAATCAAAAATTAGCCGCGTGTGGCAGCGCGCGCCTGTAGTTCCAGCTGCTTGGAAGGCTTAGGTGGAAGGATTGCTGGAGCCCGGCAGGTCGAGGCTGCGGTGGCTGGGAGCAGCCACTGCACTCCAGTCTGGGCGACAGAGTGAGACTCCGACTCAAAAAAAAAAAAAAAAAAAAGTTGAGGAAAAGACAAGGACTGAGGTATCTGGAGATGAGTTTAGTAGTTACACATCTGAATTAAGGGCTAACATTTTCCCATTCAGAATTTAAATGCAATTTTCCTTTTTTATGAGAAGAAGCTATATAATCTCATATCCTTATTTTTGAATAATTAGTCTTTATTATATTTAACCCACATATATTTTCTTCTGTTGTTATTCCTCCTTATGAATCCCCTCGACTTGCTGAAGAAGTTGTAGTTATAGCCTCCCATGTTTTTGTTTGTTTTCCTCTTGCCTGAGGGGACAATCTGAAAAGTTTCCTATTCACTGATATTACTGTTTTATCTAGCAGGACATGCCATTCACAGTGAATTTGACTTATGATCCCAACAAAATCTGCTAGAGTTTTGGGGAAAAGGAAAGAGAGTGTGAATCTGCATAATATCACTATTATGGCTAAGGGCATCTTTAAGTGGGTTCAGAATCTTACCATACTAAAAATCTAGGTATTTCCTAGATTAGATTTAGTCAATGCTGTAGTATTTATATATTTTTCAATATCTAAGTTAGAAAAAAAACTTTATTGATAAAACATAGAATGACAACACCAAGATGTGTCTGCATATATAGTGAGGCAGTGTGCCTTCTCTGTAGCATATGTCAATCTTTTTAAGGCATGGATTTTTCATATATACCAGTAAATCTACTATTGTAGAAGATTATGTTTCTAATGCCTATTTAAATATATATATATAATATAAAATTTACCTCTTCAAATATCACCAATTATCTAGTTTAAACTCAATTTTTAAATCATGCTATCCAAATATTAATTTCTAGAGATGTGATGCTCTTTCTGTTTTAGAGTTATTGGTTCCTCTTTTATTTGGAGGTTATTGTCATGCTAGTTGGATTTTTATTCCATTTGTCAATATGGTATATTAATACTTTGTTAAACTTTTCAGTGATATATGAAGGTAAAATTTCAACAGAACAGTAAATCAAACTGACTTTGGTAACATTACTCATAAATCCATTCTTCCTCCAGAGTAATTTTTCTATAGACTGTAGATAATACTACTTTCTCCTATAATTTGAGAAATTATGCTTGCAATAATTTAATAGCAAACTGAAGATCTGGGTTTCTGTTTGTTTTTTGATGTTTTAAGCAAGCAAGCCAAAATTGAATGTTCTGAAAGAAAAACAAGATTTTTTACATACTTTATTTCAGAATCTAGTTTTGCATTTATACTTCACTAAGATCTTTGTTTTCCTGTTATAATTCTCATTATATCAAGAGGCTCTTGATCTTTCTCAAGAAATGTAGGATTTTTCTTGGATATGAGTTAGTATAAATCACAATTACTTTTCTTGTACCTTTCTGTTAGCTATGATACTCAAATTCCCAACTTTGTTGTTACTTAGGTGAGCATGTGCTTCACAGCATTCCATTAAGCACACAAAAATCACAGTAATTGTATTTAGGGATCAAATATTTGATTGCCTTGTTCACTAGTTTCTTCCAGTTTATATTCTAATTATTTGTGAAAATAGAGCTTAACTTTTTTTTCAAATGGAATAAAGTAACAATTATAGAATGGAGGAAACATTTTTTCATGTCAAATAAAATTTACACAATCCAATGTTCTCTAACTCATCGCCAAGTGTTTGAAAATGTAACTCATTTTCTGCATTTTTAAAATTTTTTCAAAATAATGTATATAGTGTTAGTTTAAAAGAATTTCTGTCAAACTAATCTTTTTTATTTGGTTATTTTAGTCAGTGTATACATTTTTTCTTAAGTTTGGTGATAAAAATATACATAATTTATTTATGATTTTTTTGTTTGTAATAAACTGCTCAAAGGAACTCTAAGCTGTGAGATTATGATACATCAGGAAAAAGTTAAGTTTTAAAAAATATTTTGCTTTTTCCAATTTTACCTACTGGATACTTCAGAATTATGGACTCAAGATTTAACATATGTTATTCTTTAAAAATGTGAATACATTTTATCTCATGGTCTTGAATTTTATATATATGTATATATATTTGCTAGCAGTTATTAATTTCATTTAAGTCATTCAGAAGTAATTACAATGCAGTTAGAGAAATAGAAATTTTTAGTTCATAAAAAAAAAGTAAGACTGTTAGCTTAAAATTTCTTTTAATTTCCACCAATGAATGTGAGGCAACACAAACATTAGGTAAAGCGATGAAACAAGTAGTAAATGAATCTCCCAAACAAGGTGCCAAGTTGTTCTCTTCAATAGTTAGTACATATATACAAAGACAGTAGGTTGACAAAAGCCACAATAAATGCCACATGGTGAGTCATAAAGTAAAAAAATATTTCTGAAAGGAATAAATCATTGTTATAAAATAATAAATAGCTTCGAATGCTACACATCCTTTTTGTCATCTTGAATGACATTTTTTTCATTTTAAAGAATTTCCTAAAACCTTTAAGAAAGCTAATTTCTTCTCCTTTCCATCTTTTCTTTACTCTTGTTGCCTAACTTATAAATACAAGTATTGATTACTTCACATTGATAAAGGTAGAAACAATATTTGGTTGTAAGTCTTCATCAAAATGTATTTGTTTATCAAGTAACAGTTTCTAAAAAGTATATCAAAAACTCATTTAAAACTGAATTTTGTTTGTATTTAATAATAATCCAAAGAGCATTAAATAGGCAACAAGGAAGAATGCTAGTGAGAAAAATTTATACTCTTTTTATCACTGTTTTTCTTAGCAAATAGCTTTAAAGCCTAAACATTTTATATGTTTTATTTTTAACAAGTCCATTTTACACTTGCCCTATGTAGTTTTGTGTTCTTTTATTTTACTATTTCAATGTAATGTGACACACTAATCATGGGTACTGATTTATTTCTAATTATAGACAACATAACAAATGTGTAGTGGAATAATATATTAAAAGCTTGGTTTCTGGTGCCTAGAAAACATCAATTATTAGTTTAATGTTTGTACCTCAAAAAGAATGCTGACCAATGATTTCAAAAAGAAAGAAATCTATTAGTCTTGCAAGTAGGATTTTTTTCAACTATAGGAACACAGCTTAGCCATGAATGTATATATATACATATATATATGTGTATACAATATATATATGTGTATACAATATATATATGTGTATATGCAAATGCATATGCAGATATGTGGTGTCTGAGAAACTTCAACAAGGTTTTGATCACTCAAATTATCTATTCTGTGTGAGCCAGTGAGGTGGATGCAGAAAGCAGAAAAAGAACTCTGTATTTACTAAAACTGTTAAAATAGCTGCTGTGGTACATCCATGACGTATCATTGGGTCTAGCCTCTTGAGATTAAAGATATAGCCTCTGGAGTCATGTTGTTTCTCCTCTAAAATCCAAAGCTTTAACTGAGAACTGATTCATTTTCTTTCCTTTACCTTTGTTCAATTTATATATATTCCCTGAATTTCAAACATTTATTGATAACCCAAAGTTATGAGAATGGGATAGGATATTCGAATTCTCATCCCAGATCTACCTCTCACTAGCTGTGTGGCTTTGAACAACTTGTGCAACTTCCCTGACCCACAGTTTCCTCTTCTGTAAAATAAGAGACAGCAAGGTAATTGCTCACTGGGTTTTTGTAGGCTTTAAGTGAGAATATATTTAAATAACTTAGCACAATGCCTGATATAGTTGTGCTGCAATATATTAATTATGAAAATATCATGTAATATCCAAATCATTCTCTCTTCATTCATCGAACAAAAATATGTTTTTTTCTGCTCCGTTCAATAATAAAACATAGACGTTTTAAGCATATATTCTTATTTGGTCAAAATGGGAAATTCTCATCATCTCATATGAAGGCATACATAATGGAAGCATACACATATATAATAAAGAATCAGTATTATTGATTTCTAGATAGCTTTAAAAATTACCAAAAAATTTATTGGAATTCTTCGCAAGATCTTCTTTGCACAAATAAAAGTAATGCATTATATTTAAATATATTTCCTTTTATATTTATTAATATCAAGCATTGTTTTCTTCATTTTTAGAATTGAAAACACACAATATGTCAGGCTTGAAATAAGATATTTATATAAGTAATTAATTTTCATTCAAAACCATGTATTGTTTTTAATATGTCTAAAGTCTCATATATCGCCAAAGCCTGGCACAAAGTAGGTAACCAATAAAAGCTTATTGAACTATACTGAAATGTGTTGAGCAGAACCAATTTATTTAATCATGTTTCCTATTTTAACAAATATCATCAGTCTTCTCATTTTGCTCTAATTCCAACTCTAGAAATCTTACTGATGACTTTAGATGCCAGAACTAATG